GTGTGTGTGTGTGTGTGTGTGTCTTTGCTTATGTACGCGTGTCCGCTGCTTTTCATGTGTGATTGTTTGCGGTTTTTTGTTGTTGTTGTTGTTGTTGTTGTTGGGTGTGTGTATGCGCAGTCTCCATATGTTTCTTGGTTTATATATTTTTCTCTCCATACAGCTCCCTGCTGTTGTGTGCCCTGCCATCAAGCTGCCCGCACGAGCACGTCAGATGTTGCGCTTGCAGCGGCAGTTCCCGAATCACGTTCGCTTTTGGGTTCCTTGGTGTTGCCTTTGTGTTACCCCCGCCAACCGCTGTACGGCTCTGCATCACTTTTCCAGGCGCAAACACGAAGGACGAAGTTAACATAACTCCAATTTTTTTTTTTGGTTCATTTGTCACTTCCGGCTCCTTGATTTTTTTTTTCGGTTTGTTTTCGGCTCTACTCTCTTCTTGGTCGGTTCAATTCTCACGCACTTCCCCTCGGGGTGTGTTTGCGGTTGTGTGCACGCGTGGGTTTCGATGTGTATGTGTGCGTGTAAGAGGTTTGCGTACGCACACTCGGGCACAGACGCACGTATGCATGTATATATATATATATATGTGTGTGTGTGTGTGTGTGTGCTGAGGTGCGCATCGAGATTCACTTTGCTTTCTTTTCCGCCAAACTTCACCCTTGAGAGAGTGGGGGGCTGCATTCCCTCCAGTCACGGCAGCAGCGGCGGCGATGAAATGCTCCTGTTCTCTCCTTGACACCTTTGCTGCACACACTAAACATATATATATAAGTATACATAAATCCGAAGGAAAGTATCCACCTAGAGGTGATTAACACAAGATTCGGTTCGTCGCAAAAGCAATACAATAGTTTCTGCGCTTGGCAGGAATAATTAGCACAGCAGTTGTTGTGGTGGTTCTGATAAAGCAGAATATTGTTTAGTAGTAGTGTGCATCAAGCACCGGGAAGGGGAGAGGAAAGGAAAGCTCAATTGCGGTGACGTCAAGGATGAGTATTCAGAGTGGCTCTTCTCTCATGGATGGCGATGACGCAAAAACTTGGCAGTCTGCGTTAGCCGCACTAGAGCACAAGTACAGTATCTCCTACTTCCAGCTCCACAACAATCTGATCAATGGATGGGCTGTCGAAAGGAATACGCCGTTGATGAAAGGTGAATCTGAGAACGCCGGGAAGAAGGCTTCCCTCAAAGAGCAGCAGGCCCCGATGCCTCGCCCCGTGACGAGCGGCGGGGGTGTCGGCCTGCATACATTGAAGGAGCTGCAGCAGCCCTTGCGTCAAGTGCCAGTGGCGCGCAGTGGGCATCTTCTTCTTCCGTGTGAAGCCCGTCGTAGTCTCATCCTGCACGGTGGGCTTGGTATTGGACCGCTAGATCTCCTCAACGACACGTGGGAGTATTTGATTGATGAGCAGCGGTGGGTGGAGCTTATTTGCCGCGGCACCGCCGTCGCCACCGGGGTGTTGGAGGGCAGCATGCCACCCAAAGCGTTCGGTCAGTGTGGCGCGCTCTTTGGTGGTGGGCGATATCTTTTCGTACATGGCGGCATCACAAGCGGTGAGAACAACGTGCTGCTGGCGTACCAGCTCGACATTGAGCGGCGACTGTGGAAGAAGCTGTGCCTCGACCACCCGCTGCCAACGATGTGGGGATCAGTGGCGCAGACACTTCTTATTCCTACGCATGAGGGCGACGCGAAAGGGGTAGGTGCCGGGGAAGGTGCGTCGGCCCCGCAGCAGCAACAGTCACGGCAAACCACGGAGGTTGTGGTTGTCTTCGGCGGCATGCAAGAAAGCACGGCCTTCAACAGCACGTACTTTCTCTACTTGTCGGCGCCGCCACTGTCGATGGGGAGGCGGCAGTACACGGAAGATGAGAAGCGCGTGGTGGTGAAGCTTCCGGACGTGGCGCCGCTCACCTTTCCTGGGCGGCGGCGTGCCTGTTCCGCCGTCTGCAAGGATTTTTTCTTCTTTATCTTTGGCGGGCGTGACAAGGCGTGCTTCTACAATGATCTCTGGGTGTTGAACGCGTACACGCGGCAGTGGATCATGGTGCGTGAGGAGACGCCGTTGCAGTGGATGCGTGCTTTCTTCCTGCACCCATTCGACGCAGAGCCGGGGCGCCGCATCATGGACTTCGTGAAGGCCTTGCTGGATGTGCGGCGTGACGACAAGCGATGCAGGCATCCGACGGCGGTGCCGCAGAGTTGCGTCGAGCACAACAGCACCGCGCGGTGGCGCACCGGCGCGGTGATGGTGAGCCGAGGCTCCGACATCTTTGTCCATGGTGGCTTCACCTTTGACACGCAGGGGGCTATTGAAACGCACAAGGACATGCACGTCTACAACTACGTGCGCCACGTATGGCGCGTGGTGAGTATGAGCTCGCGACGCAAGATGCCGGCGTTCCCCGCGGGGTACTTCAGGGCGAGTGCTATCTCCTCCTCCTCCTCCCCTTCACCCTCCCCCTTGCTCTCAGTGCAGGGGGGCGGTGGTGCACCACCGCCCAAGGCGGGCCCAGAGCAGGAGCCAGTTTCCCCGCCCAACTTGGCGCTGGTGATGGACATCGACGCGGCATCTCCAGTGGGGCGCACGATGGCGGCCATGTGCGCGGACCCTGTGCTGCCCGGCTTCCGATTTTTCTTGTTCGGTGGCCGCTCGGAGGATGAGCCGAGCGGCGACCTCTACGATGTGCGCATCGACGTCACCCACCCCACCTTTGACTCCGGAATGACGATGCTGAATGAGAATGGAGAGAAACACCTGTCCAATTCCGATGAAAAGGCGCGCGCAGCTCCTGGAGTCAACGTCCCGGACGCAGCGTACTCTCCAGAGCTGCTGCTGCTACCGTCGTCGCTGTTATCGTCTCCCTCCTCTGCCGCTGCTGCTGGTGCCTTGCTGCCATTAGACAGGCAGCACCTGGGGAAGCGCAGGTTATGGGAACAGGCGACGGACTGGGTGCGGGCGGCGCTGCTGGAGGAGCAGTCGCTGCGCCGCACAATGCAGGTAGTGGTGCAGCCGGAGCAGGTGGTGTCGCCCGTGTGGCTGCGTGAGGCAAGTGAGCGCTGCGGTATGATGCAAAAGAAGGTTGACAAGTTCCACGACGGGCTCGTGGCGTTGGTGTGGTGCTCCCCGCCGTTTCTGCAGAGCGGGTGAGGTGATGCGTGTGTGTGTGTGTGTGTGCGTAAGGCGGCATATGCCACGGGGGGAAAAAAAAGCATTGGGTGGGGGATGAGGCGACAAGGAAAGAGAAAGGAGGTAAATAAAAGGTAAGAATGAAGTTTTTTTTTTTTTTGGTTTCTTGTAGGTTTCGCATTCTTGAAAAAGAGAGAAAAAAACAGAAACAAGGCGAACAGCGATCGCTAAGATGCAGTGGAGAAGGCCTCTCTTAAACTGACGAAGGAGCCAGGAGAGGAGAAACTAAACAAAAAAAAAATTGAAACGAAAAGTATACTCTTCTGCCCGTCGCTTATCGCTGTTGTTGTTGTTGTTTTTTTGTTGGTGGGGGGGGGCACAGGCGAGTACAACGGTTGAAACTGTGAATACGGCAGGCATGCATGCATGGACTGCTTTTTTTTTTGCTTCTTCTTTCCTGGACTGCCGCCGCTCCCCGTCGGTACCTTGTTTTCTCCTCCACTCAGAGGACGTGTTTGTGTGTCTGGAGGTGTGCGGGCAGGGTGCCTGTGTGTGTGAATATATAACGATGTGTGCATGTGTGAAGAAACGTCAGCCCGCCACCAGGAACGAGTATGGACGGGGCTTGGCGAGAGTGCCTTCTTATATTACATGGTCTCTCTGGGTAAGAGCGGTGTGCATATGTAATGGGATCGGCTGTGCCATCTCCTGCTGTGCCCCCCCAAACTCCCCGCTGCCAGTTGCCCTTTTACGTGCCGTGGGGAGATAGAGGGGCGAGGGAAGCGGCATGTTCGCGCACGCGTATCTACGTGCATCAGGAGACGTAGACAAAGAGAGGTGATACGAATGGCTGCGTTGAGACAGAAAAGCACAAAGATGCATACCTTTCCTTCTAGTTTTTGTGTGTGTTTCATTTTTACTTGCTTCCGTGGTTGTGTGGGTGTCTGTGTGTTGTTGTTGGTGGTGGTGGTGCCTCTGCGGCTGTAGGCGGGCGGGGCGCCTCTGCCTTTGCGCCACCGCATGTGTAGTCACAGCGTGGGGAGGGATTGTTGTGAATGGCATGCAGCTTGCTTCATATATTCGCTTTCTTCATTGGGTCTTTCCTTTGAATTGCGCCATCACCATCCTTCCCTCCCGTTTTTTCTTTTCTCCATTTCTAATGTTTTTTTTTTTGGTTGTTGTTATCTTTTTTTCCTTTCACTGTGTGTTTGTGGTGTGCCTTGCCTTCCTTTTCCCCCGCCCGTGTTGGTGTGCGCGGTGGCCTCCCGTGGGGTGTAGGTTGTGTGTGTGGGTGTGGGGGGGGAGGCGCGTTCCTGTGCTGTGTGGAGCCGCGCATGCGCGTGTGCGCGCGGGTATCTGTTGTGTCCCACTGTTTTCTCTCACTGTTGTCCCCTCCTCCTCCTCCTCCCTCCCCGCATGATTTGCTGTGATCGCTGCTGCCTGCTGTGGCGGCTTGCAATAGTGCTCCGTGTGCGACTGCAACACCCAAACAACAGGGAAGAGGGAAGTCTAGGGCGAAACAGAGCCAACAGATTCTTGCGGCATTCATACAGTAAAGAAAGAACAGGAGATCTCAGTTGCTCGCCACCGCTTAGATTCACTCTCAGTTACACATAGTTTCACTTGGGAATACTCGTTAAAGCATTCAGGGGACTGTAGCAGGGAAGAGGCATCGATCGGAACAACACTACGATGGCGAACGGACAGCAGCGAGCACAGGCGGACACTCCGCCCCCGCACTCCGATTTTCAGCCGCGTGATGCCGCCGACGGCGGCTCTGTGTGTGATGCGGAGGCGTGGACGATGGAGAGTATCCGGCGCCTGCTGCGGCGGCGACTCGCCGTACGGCTTTCAGGGGAGCTCCGCCGGTTCTCGTGGGACCCGTACGCCACGTCCGTGCTTGACGAAGATGTGGATCGTGTGAAGAGTTGGTACATGCGCACCACCGTCTCCCGATCCCCCGCTTACCTGACACAATGGCACCAACAGCTGCAGGAGCAGCAACGCCTGCTGCACTACCAATACCCCCAAGATCATCATCATCATCATCATCATCATCATCACCATGGCAGGGGTGGGGCTTCGTATTCCCATCCTCGCCATTATCTCCCTTATTATTATTATCGTCACAATCATCACAAGAATGATGCTTACGCTCAGCAGCAGCAGCAGCAGCAGCAGCGGCAGCAGCATTACCGTGATCAACAGTACTACCAGTATCAGCAATCGCTCGAGCCCAATCATCAGGGAGACTTTTTGATTCATCAACAAGATCAATATCAGCATCGGTAGTAGCTTCAGCGTGCACCGCACTCTTTCGGCTTGCCTGGTCGTTGATTAGATAGCAATGTGGCCGTACCGCGATAACGTCCGGGACTTGTCGGGCGCCGATCTCTACAATGTATGTATGAATGACACCATTTTTTTTTTCTTGAGAGGAATCCTCTGTGTGCTTGCCTTACCACACCCTTTGTTCTTGATGTTTGGCCGGTGCCAAGTAATTATCCTCTACCTTCAGTGAAAGCGCCATGGTGTAGAAACCTGTATTCTCATCAAGAGTAGCCTTTGGAGATGCTTTGCTGGCATATTTAAGCACTAAACCAAATACAAAAGAAAAAAACTGCTCCCCCTTTCCCCCTCCCCCCTTTTTTTTTGTTCTGATTTCCGTTCACTCTGTTACTCCCTGCTTTGTTCCTTCGCTCGCTTGTTCGCTACTGTACCCGACCTCTAGAATAAAGGAGCGAAGTGTGCCCATTCTCACGGCCGCCTCTCTGGAAGCGCCATCACGGTCAAGGGGAAGAAGAAGAAGAACAACAACAACAACAAGAAGAAAAAAAAAGGTGTCGTTGTGTCTCTGTGCTCACTTTTTTTTTTTTTCTTTCAGACGGGATATAGATTTCTTTTTTATTTTGTTTGTTTGTTTTAGAGGCGTCTTTGGAGGTTCTAGCTGTCATTTCTCGTAACAGCGTTGCGTGGGTGTTCCCCGCGTGTTCGCAGGCATGTGCCTGGTGCTCCCTCTCACTGCAGCAATGTGCGTCCTTCCTGTTTCTCTTTTTTCTTTGCTTTGCTTTTTGTTGTTGTTGTTGTTTTCGGTTTTTTGCCGCGCCCGCCCTCTGCAGACCTGAGACGATTGAGTTTTTCAGCAAACGAATAGCGTTCGTCGCCAGCTTCACGCATCGGTTTACTGCATCGTCAACATCGGCGGCATCAACCAATAAGAAGAGCCAAAGAAGAAGAAAAACATAAAGAGAATTTCGCACGAGCTGAGTGCTCCCCGGCATTGAGAAGAAAGCCACACGCATACACATACAATAACCCGCCAAATGCACCCCTCTGCGACAAAGCCCATGCAACTCGCGCGGTCCCCGAGTGCCGTTGAGAGTTACTCATGCCCCCGCAGTCCGCAGCCCCTGTGTACTGGCGCTTGCCCCAGGAGTTTCCAGGGCTCTAGCGTCTGCAGTTCGCCGGGACTGGCGGTGATGTCATCCCCCGGTGGTGGGGGGTACACAAGGAATCCATACTATGCGATTGAGAAGTGGACCTACGATGACTTCGCATCGAGTTACTACGAAAATTTGGGCGTTTATGGTAGGCCCTTTCCTGCCATGGGGTCGCAACCTCTTCGTCAAGCCAACACAGGGTATAGCGCCGCGTCGTCGTCGTCGTCGACGATGGATTCCCCAGAACTCATTGCGGGTTGTCTGAGCACCAACGATGCACGGCATCTGTATCCACAACATAAGGATTCTATGCAGTTTCACTCACCTGGCACTGAGTGTGTGGCTCACACTGGGCCCATTCCTCACAGCATGGACGAATACCATGTCCTCCCCAGCGTCTCGGGAACGCAGAGCGACTTTGCATGGCAGGCCGTGACCCCCTATCGGCTTCCGGAGGCTGCAACAGAAGCTTCTCTACGCAGCAGGCTGAGCCTCGATGATCAATCTGATTTTGGCGCCCCGGCAGCAGTGGGGATGGGCCAATCACAGTTGTTTTCACAATGGAGCTGCGTCGCTCAGGCGTTCGCCTTTCAGAACCAGGGGGTCTCCGACACTCCGCCCTCTGTCCCACGCTGTTTCCTTGGGCAGACAGGGAGTTCGATGGTTCGTGGCCGCCCATGGCATCCACAGAGTATGGCAAGGATGCAATGTGGAAGACCGCCGAACGCTGTGCTCAAGTTCAAGAGGATGTTGCCCCCGCCGATTCCGTACGATATTGCGGTGGCTGTGTTGTCATCCGATTCCCGGTACGCCGAGAGTTTGCTCGTTTTCTCTTGTTTGAATTGGTACAGTCGCATCGTTGCTTTGCAGGAGTTGTACGCTGGTGGAATTCTCAACAAGAGTCCGATGTCAGGCACCAACAACAGGAAGCCGCAGTATTTATTAAAAAAGGCTTGTCCTGCTCCACCGGAGCATTCAATGCGTACAGAAGTCGCAATGCGATGTTGGGTGTGGGAATGCAACGAGTGGTGGGAAGAGGAGTTCGGGAAGAAGAAACGCGGCTCTGAGCGGCGACGTGGTGCTGCTGGTGGTGGTGTTGGTGGCATTCGCTACAGGTCGCGGACCTACCCCAGCAACTACCAGTGGAACGCCGACAACAACAACGGTGGCAATGTCAACGTCAGTGTCAGCGGCACAAGCAGCATGCACTTCGGCACGGGTGATGAATCTTCACGGCGTGGTGGCCGCTACCACCACTGACCGTGACTGGTAATAGTCATTCCTGCAAACTAGCGGTGCGTTTCTACAGCCAGTTTGGGTTCTGAAATGTGCAAAGAAAGATAGTGGAAGTTATTTGTGGATGTCCATCTGCTCAACCTCCACACTTCCCTCAATGTGTTCTCTTTATTTCTCTCTCTCTCTCTCCCTTTCTGCCGCGGCACAAACAAACAAGCACACACGCAGGTGAATTCGGTATCGTGCGGATTATTTTATTCTGCTCTTGGTGGTGTTTTTGTTGTCTACGTGTTCCAGCATACTTCTTTTTTTTTCTCGCTTGTGTACTGTGGGCAGATGAAGGAATGCATGAATGAAAGCAATACGCATCCCTGCGAGTGTTGGGCTTTCACTATATTCATTATTTTCTTCTCCACCGTATTCTGTGCGTGCTTGCTTCTGCTCAGTTTTTTTTTTTCGTTTTGTTTGTGTTCTTTCTTGTTTTCTTGTTTGTTTCTTCTTATGGTGTTCACTCCCTCCTACTTCCTGTTTTGGTTCTGCCACCCCGTTGTTTCCTTTTCTTTTTTGGTTTCGTTTCCTTTTTGTTGTTGTTGTTGTTCTTTGGTGTGTGTGTTTCTTTTCGTTTCGTTTTTTTGTTTGTTTTTGCTTCTCTCTCGATCTGCCCGTCGCCGCCCGCACACCGAACACGCGGGTGACCGTGCGGCTGCATACCCCTGCGGTACGCGGGTGTGGAAATACACGGACAGACAGATGAGACATACATGAAAGGTAAGGAGGGGGACCTGTGGCGGGAGTCGTTGTGCGTGCGGGTGCCAGAGGGGGCGGGGGTGCAGCGGCTGAGCTCTGCGACCCATAGAGGCTTTTTCTAATGTTGTGGTTGTGGGTGTTTTTTTCTTTTTTGGTCTGCAGCGGCAGGTGCGAGTTCTGCTGCGCGTGCCTCTCCCCGGTTTCATTCGTGCCATCGCTGCTACCGATGGTGCCTGGGGGTGCCCCGGCTTCTCTCGGTGCATGTGCGTGGCTGTGACGATGGGCTGGGGGAGGCCAGCGGCGCCCCTCCATGCGCGCAGACAGGCAGGCGGCCTGAAGCAAGTGGGGTGCGAGGGACAAGCTGACGGGCGTTTGTGTGGCCCTTGTGGCACACACGTACACGGTCTGCGCATTGCTTTTTGCGTGCGGCGTTCTTTCCATCTTTTTTGTTGCTTTTGTTTTTTTTTTGGGGGGGGTTGTAGTGGGAGGTTGATATATATATTGATTCGACTATGTTTTCTTTTTTCGCGCGCTCTCTCTCTCTCTCTCTGTGCGCATACGCCGCCACCAGAAAGTGAAACAAAAGTGAAATAAACTGGACTGAAACGAAGGCAAAAAAAAAAAAGATTACGAAATAGGGCCACGACGGAGTTTATAAAGAAGTTGTTGTTGTTTTTTGCGGCAAAGAGAAAAGAGGCATGCTTTGTGCCTCTCCCTCTGCGTGTGTGTGTGTGCGCGTGGGTGTGCTGGGGGATGGAAAAGCGAGAGGAGAGCATGTTTCGCAACAATGCATTTCAATGGAAGCTGCGGCACCCCAGGTTGCGAAAGGTCTGGGAAAACAAGAGGCATGCGATTCCATATCGCTAGTTCCCCTCTCTTCTTATATACGCTTTCCTTCATATATATATACATATATATACGTTTAGTAGATATAGCAATATCTACTATATCTTGATTCTTTTTTTGTTTTTGGTTGTTGTCTTTTTTTGTTTTTGTTTTTTTTTTTTGTCCACTCAGGCCTCAATCTTTATTGAACTCTTTTGTTTTCTTTCTTTTTTTTTTCGTTTTATTTCGCTTTCACTCTCTGTTATCTTCTCTCCCTCGTTTGCTTTTTGCACAACAGGTGTGTGCTAGAAAACTCCTTCGTCATATCAATTTCACATGCATCGGCGGTGCGCCGCTTTCTTTAGGTTGATTTCTTTCTATGTGTTGTAATGTTTTTTTTTCATTTTCACTACTTGGAAAAAAGGGGAATTATTGTACACAAATACACACACACACACAC